GGTGAAGCAGAATCAAACATAGTTTCTTGCTCATGGAACACTACATCTCTGCTTCTGATAATTTTTCGATTTTCTGGATCCCATAACCTGTAGCCAAATTCCTCATCTCCATAGCCCAGAAATATACAAGGAATGGCTTTATCATCATGTTTTCGTCTATGTTCCTTGCTTACGTGAGCAAAAGTTTTGCATCCAAACACCTTCAAATGAGAGTATTTAACATCATGTCCGGACCATACTCTCTCAGGGATGTCAAAGCCCAAAGGAACAGACGGAGATCGGTTGATTAGGTAGCATGCCGTTAGAACAGCTTCTCCCCAGAATGGCTTAGGTAGCTTAGCCATTTTTAACATACACCTCACTTTCTCCATAATGGTTCTGTTGATTCTTTCAGCCACACCATTATGTTGTGGGGTTCCAGGTACAGTCTTCTCATGCCTGATGCTATGCTCGGCACAATAATTCTTGAATTCATGGGAAGTATACTCCCCCCATTATCTGAGCGAAGACACTTCAAAGGTTTACCAGTCTGTCTTTCCACCATAGCATGAAACCTTTTGAAGTATTGAAAACCTTCACCCTTCGTTCTCAAGAAATACACCCACAATTTTCTTGAAGCATCATCAATAAACGTCACGAAATATCTGCTACCACCGAGACTCTCCACTTCCATGGGTCCACATACATCAGAATACACCATCTCCAACACATTCTCTTTCAACTTCGAGGTTTTGCTGAAAGACACCCTATGATGCTTCCCAAAGAGACAATAATCACAGGGATTCAGTTTTGAATCTTTGGCAAATGGGATGAGGGACTTTCTTGCCAAAATTTGTAATCCTTTTTCACCAATATGAGCCAGTCTTTTGTGCCACAAATTTGGCGAAGCATCATCTTCGACTGCATTCAATCCACCCTTGATCAGCTTCACTTGAGTTCTGTACAGTGTTGATCTCACTGTACCTCTAGCAGCTAACAACGATCCTTTGGTAAGCCTCCACGTGCCATTACCAAAATTGTTAGTATAGTCTGCTAGATCCAATGCATGCACAGAGATAAGATTCAGACGTAAGTCTGGTATATGTCGTACGTCCTTCAGTGTTATTGTGCACCCAATATCGGTTTGAATGCACACATCACCAATTCCCACAATATTTGCAATGCTGTTGTTGCTCATCTTTACTCTACTAAAGTCTCCTTCTTTGTATAGAGAAAAGAATTCCTTGTGAGAGGTTGCATGGTATGATGCTGCTGAGTCAATGATCCATTCAACACATGAATCTGCAACGTGACACTCTTCTTCTTCAACAGAGAGCAACACCACTTCCCCGTTAATCACAGGGGTTGTGGTATTTTCATCGTTCTCTGCCTTGTTGTTTCTCCAACCTCTGTTCTTCCAGGCTTTGCAGTTTCTTTTGATATGCCCTTCTTCACCGCAGTGATAACACTTGAATTTTCTCCTGGGTTGAGATTGTGATTTATCTCTGTCTTTGCTATTCCGGCCTCTGCTTTTACTTCTCCCCCTGGTTTCTGTGACCAGGGCTTGGGAACTGCTTGCCCCTGAGTCTTTTCTTCTTGTTTCTTCATTAAACATACTGTCTTTGACTTGAGTCAAAGTCAGTTTTTCCTCAGGGGCAGAGTTGCTCAACAAGACCACCAGAGTCTCCAAGCTATCCGGTAAAGAACTTAAAAGTAACAGCGTCTGCAGTTCTTCATCAAGTTTCATGTCCATGGTAACAAGTTGGTTCACTATGTCTTGAAACTCGTTCAAGTGTTCTGCAACTGATCTTCCATCTCGATATTTTAAATTTACAAGCTTTCTAATGACGAAAGCTTTATTCTGTGCAGTCTTCCTCTGGTACATCTGTTCAATTTTGTTCCACAGAGTATGGGCTTTCGACTTTGTGGCAACATGGTCGAATATGCTGATATCCACCCACTGTCTGATTAAACTGACAGCCTTCCTATGTAATTTTTTCCTATCGTCATCCTTTATGTCATCTGGCTTGTTGTCTCCCTTTTCTACTGGATCATACAGATCTTTGTAGAAAAGTATGTTCTCCATTTTTGGCTTCCAAATGGAGTAATTTGTTACTGTGAGCTTCACCATGGTACTCACGTTCTCCTCCATTTAATTTACACGGGTCGATACAGAGCCCAACGTGAGCTCTGATACCACTTGTTGGGCTCAGATGCGCAAATGCGGAAGATGTAAATTAAAATACTAATGTGAAATGGTGAACAATAATCCCAATCCCAGCAACTCAAGAATGACAAAAGAAAAACTCTTGCAATAACACCGGAATAATTCTTTTCTGATGTGGAAGTTCAGATTAAACTGCGACCACAGAGCATACTAAGAATATCCCAAATAAATAAAATATGCAAGAAATAAGACACCAAGATTTAACGCGGAAAAACCTCCAAATAGAGGAAAAAACCACGAGACAACCTCCGAACAATTCCACTATATTTTTAAGATAATTACAATATCTTTTCACACTCTCTTACACTAGAAATGTAAAATATAGTGACCCAGTGAGAACCCCACTCTTAAACAAAGAGTAATAGAGTTGATACCCAACCCAGTGTATTTTTTCCACACTCACAGGATTTACTCAAACACTCTATTTTTATCTCACTGAAAAATAACACACAGAAATATTATTTCTGCTCTCTCTCTTGTTCTCTCTTTTTTCTTCTTCCTTGGTGCGTTTTCTCTTCTGCTGAATGCTCCTATTTATACTGATGATTTCACATGAAACCTGCACCACATAGCAATGATTTTTCTTTCCGGTGCCAACTAAAGATTCCTTCATGTGGCTGAAAGTTTTTATTTATTTATTTATTTATTTTGTTTCTATGTGGTTGGACACCACATGGATTTTGGCTGGATTCTGACAAAATAGACCATCGATGTCAGCAACAACTGCAAGTAACATACTCATGTTAGTAACCTTTAGCAACCAGACGAGCTTTGTAGCGCTCAATAGATCTATCTGAATTTGTCTTGGTCTTATAAACCCATTTACACCTGATGGGTGTTTTGCCAGCAAGTAATCCACCAAATCCCAAGTATGAATCTTTTCCAACGCTTGCAATTCCTCAGCCATAACTTGTTGCCACAATGGATCAGAACTCGCCTCCCAAAAAGACTTAGGCTCATGATGAGATAGTATGACGGAATAACAATGATAGTCAAGTAGGTGAAAAGGGGGACGACTAACATGAGTTGACCGTCGGTGATCGGTGGTAGGTGAAGGGATAGGATCATGAGTGGACTCAACATGAAGCATCAGTTTAGGATGCACATGTGGAACCATTTCAGAAGACGGAGGCATGACAGACGTGTCAATGAGCTGTGAGTCGGGAGAAGTATCTGGAAAGAGATCTGAAGTAATGAAGAAAGGGGATGCCAAATCAAATGAAATGTGAAATTTAGACAATTAAGAAAAAGAAGTATGTTCCCAAAAGGTAGTGTGACACGAAGTATGCAACCGATTAGAAATAGTATTCCAACAACTAAACCTTTGTGTCCAACCCCATAACCCTACAAAAAGTACATACGAGCTCGGGCTTCTAATTTGGTTCGTTCATGAGATGGAAGAAGGACAAAGTAAACACAACCAAAAGAGCGCAGTTGTGTATAATAAGGTGATTGAGTGTACAACCTCTCAAAAGGACTGATATCCTGAAGAACTGATGAAGATAATCGATTGATAGCATAAACACTAGTCAAGGCTGATTTATCCCAAAAATTATCAGGACACTTAGCAGAAAGAAGAAGAGCACGAACCGTATCAAGAATGCGACGATGCTTACGTTCGTCTCATCCATTTTGTTGGGAAGTATAGGACAAGAACGTTGAACTACTATGCATGTTCAGAAAGAAATCTTAAAATGGTAGAATTATTGTACTTAATGGCATTGTAGTATGCAAGACCTTATAGAACATGAAAACTGCGTGTGAATCATTCTAGCTTATTGGTGGGTAACTCAAAACAATTTTTGAGAAAATAGTTCCAGGTAAATGAGAAAAATCATCGACAATAATAACAAAGCACCACAAACCATTCATAAAGGAAACAGAAGAAGGATCCCAAATATCAGAATGTACCAAGACAAAAGGTTTATTAACAGTTGACAAATTCCCAAAAAACAAAAGAAAGAGTCGAGCGTTTCCCAAGATTACAATGAAAAGATAACTGAAAGAATAAAAATGACTTGGACCCAAAAGACCTTTATTATATTAAGAACGAACTTTATTTGAAGACATATGTCCAAGACGAAGATGTCACTAGAAGGTGGACTGGTTATGGTGACAACAACAGAAAACGAGTAAGAGCGAGGGGCATGGAAGACTCAAGCTCAAATAACAGGCCCCATCTTGTGACCAATCCCGAGAAGCCATCTCGTTTTGTGAATCCTGAACATAAACAGAAGAAGATGAAAATATATTATTAAGTCATTGTTCAACCAAATGGCCAACTGGAATAAGATTCAAGGCCAAGTAAGGAATGTAGTATACGGTTGTGCCTCGACGATGGATGCAGCTATCTAAGGGCGATGTCGCGCGGTCACCGACTAGGCATGTGTGGGCAATGTTGCGTCGTCGCCGACGGCTATGTGCAGGCGATGTCGTGCGGTCGATGCAGCTGTCCACGAGTGACCTCGTCGACACCTGAGAGTCCACGGGCAATCTTGGTTATGGCTCGACAATGGATCGAAAATGGCTCGGATGGCTCTTCTCGACAAACTCGCTAGGAAAGATTTGTTCGATACTTGGGACCTGGACTCCTCATTCTCATTTTTTAAACACTAGACCTAGATAACCCCAAAATACATAGGAATATACGCCAAATACGAAGAACACAAAACTAAGGTAAAAATGCATGAAAACAACTAAAATGGACCGGTTAAACAAGAAAGAAAACCTAGAAACGACTTGACTAGACACATATAACATGTAAAATCACTACAAAAACGTACAACACAATGACATGATGGTCAAAGCCCATCCACGACCAGCCACAAACAGAGCCGACCTCCCACTCCACGCCACCAAAGTCGTCGGAAAGCTCCACCGCAACCCTCGTTGCAAGAGGAAACACCTCACGAGACCGACACTCCAGGACCAGTGTCCGAGCGGTTATCAACAGCTCCTAGATCCACCGTCGGCAGTTAAACCGTGGTTACAGCATGACCTTATTGGGATTGCATACCCGCAGCGTATAACTGTCTAACGGTCTTAGGCTTTTGCCTCCTTCTTTGTACCAAAAACAAAAAAAAGAAAATGAGAGTTTACTTAGACAATTTGGGTTTTTTGAGTGTATATTTTTTTCTCAATTGATTGATGATTAGCTTTTGGATTTCAAAGTCTTTAATTTAGAAAACTTTAAAAATTAGGCCGCAAGTTGATACCTTGCAAAATTTTAGAGTCTACATGTGACATAATCACCTAACTTAAGGGCCTTAGATGAAATTCTCCCGAAAACTTTACCCGTCCGCAATGTGAAGAGCTGAAAATCACACTTCACGCTTTTTGCACATCTCTTCACGAAGCTTCAGCTTCCATCAAGCCATACTTTTTCCTCGTGATCGGCAAATAAGGTACACGAACGAAATTATTTGGTTAAACATACTGTTAGAATTTATGATCCGTCGATCCTTGTTCATGAAATTTATGAAAATCGTTATCCTCCGCTTCAATTTGCAGCATCTCTATCAGCTCTTGCACGGTTTGTTTTCCAGTTTTCATATTTTTGTTCTGATGACTGATGTTATTTCGAACTCAGAATTAAGGTTACTACTTCATTGTGTGCATCAATCATTTAGTCACTGCGATTTTACATACTATTGCTGTTTTTCTGTCTTATTTCAGTTGATTTGTTTTTAAGTTGGATATTGTTCATTTGCTGGTCGAATTTTGGGAAATTGTGGTTCATATTCACCGGAATGTTAACATGATGCACACACGCACTCATAATGTCTCATTTGGTTCATCTGGTCCTATTGTCTTATAGAGGACCAGATTTGATTATGTTGATCCTATTGTTGTTGATATTGTCTTCAGATATGTTGAAATGTTAAAGGGGATGTTTAATATATATGCAGTGGAATCTATGAATCATTTACATATGTCAATCGGCCAACAGAAGCCGAATATCTGATGTTGTATTACGCTTTCATCTAAGTGTTGCAGTGGGTAGGAAATATAATATTCAGATAAAAGTTTTGTTAATCGGTTTTTAGAATGGTGAAGGTACTTGAATTTTTTGTTCATTTAAGATCAGAGTAACACAGCTTTGATCATATCGTTAGACTATAATGTTCTTTTTCCAAGAAATAATTACGAGAAACTTTATTATTGATATGTTAAGTGTAGGCTGGTAATCTTCCGTATGTCGCTGGTTAACTGTCAGAAAACAAATTATCATTTTGATTTCAGGACATTGACAGATTTGTGTTTTTCTTATAAGCTAACAGTTATCTTTTGCCTGCTTAAGTAATCGATTTATTGCGTTAAATGATATCTTTATGAAATACAAATAAGGAAACAGTACTTCCTGACAAGTCGTTATTCTGTGGTCCTCTATGTGGGATAACATGTTTACCTGTCTTCAGAAGAGCTTGAAATGCTTGTGATTGTAGGTTTGTTGGGTGAGAGGGATATTTATAATTATGAATTTTGTAGCCAGACTATTACATAATTGTTTTGTTTTTACTTGATAATATTTTTTGACAGAAATGAGTCCAAGTGGTTATACTGCTGAAGTTACAAGTCTGTCCTCAAATGCGTCTGAGAAGGATGTCTATGATTTTTTCGCTTTCTGTGGTGCAATTGAGCATGTTGAAATTGTCAGGTACTTTTCATATAAGGCAGTTTCCCCATGACGTATCCACTGTAATAACTTTTCTTGTCATCTTATTTATGCAGTGTTTACCTTTTAAACTTATTACACTCACTTATTGACTTGAATATGAGCTGGTTATGTTCCTCCCACCATATTGCAATAACAGGCATAATACATGTATGTGTTCACTTGCATAAAGGAAGAAGCTAAAATGGAAACCTTGCAGCAGATAATTGGAGTGCTAGACTTTTGATTACTGTAATATATTTATCTCAATTGTTAACAGATTTGGATAACTAACTATTGGAGGTTTCCCCCCGAGTTCTATCCGCATTGACTCAAGATTCATTACAACTTGACTGTGCCTTTATACATGAGCAATACTTTATATATTCACTTAACCGTTTGACATAACCTCCCTTGAATGAACAATTCTGAAAATTACTGCTAGAATTTTGCAAGCCTTCATTGTATCATGTGAAGCCTTTATTTATTTACTTGTTATTGTTACCAATCAATATTCATTTGTTCGTTGTTGGAAATTTGCAGAGCTGGTGAATATGCATGCACAGCCTATGTGACATTCAAAAATCCTCATGCTCTAGAAACCGCTGTCTTGCTCAGTGTGAGTGAATGAATATATGAATGTTCTATCCAGCTTTTAATGGCTTATTTTAGAATCAACATTTTTATAGCTGGGACCTTAGCAGCCCTTGAACTCATTATCTGGTCCAGATTGGCATGTTTGTATTATGATTAATGAATACAGAGACTAATTTCACTGTTAAATTGTTTCTTTTTAGCTTTTCGAGTCCTCTTATTGTAAGATAAACTCATATTTATAGAATTGAATGCCTTCATCAGGGTGCTACTATCGTGGACCAACCTGTCTGCATAACCCGTTGGGGACATTACGAAGATGACTATAATATATGGAATCATCCATCATGGAGGATTGAAGATGAAAGTAGTAGTACAAGTGTAAGTTCCTCTTTCCCTTTCAGTTGGAATTAACGCCGCCCACAGCTATCTCCCAATGTGATGGTAACTTTTTCCGTCTAATATTAAATATTTGGAGATTTGGTATATCTAAAACAATAGATGCACGCCCAACCACTCCGAGTGGTCCCGTCTGCTGGAGAAGCCGTCTCCCTAGCCCAGGATGTGGTGAAAACAATGGTTGCCAAAGGGTATGTGCTCGGGAGAGACGCGTTGGGGAGAGCCAAAGCATTTGACGAGTCCCACCGGGTGTCGGCCACTGCCGTTGCCAAAGTCGCGGAGCTGAGCGAGAGGATAGGGCTGACCGACAAACTGTTTGCCGGGGTCGAGGCGGCTCGGTCGGTCGATCAGAGGTACCACATTTCAGACACCACGAGAACGGCCGTGTCGGCCACCAGCAGGACAGCACTCTCCGCGGCCAATGCTGTAGTGAGTAGCAGTTACTTCTCAAAAGGGGCACTCTGGGTGTCGGGTGCTCTGAATCGGGCAGCTCAGGCGGCCGCGGATCTGGGGAACCGTGGAGGTTCAGCAAAATGACGACTTTGGCCCTAGGCTGGGTTGTTAATTTTGGGTACCATTGCTTGTGTAGATATAGTGTTTAGCATGTGAGCGAGGTGGACAGGCAGTCTTGTTGTAACATTAAGTGATTATTTCGTATGGGGCTTGTGATTTTAGTTTAGGAATGGGTTAACTTATATTTTACTGGGTAGATGGAGCCTCGCGCTCGTGTGTGAAGCAACGCATCTGAACGAACATGCTATTTGCGACATACGTAATACTACTAAAATATTACTAAAATTTATGTCAAACCGTCAGTTAAAAGTTTAACTTTGTTGTTTTAACTTTTATTTTTTGTAGTGTAGGTTTTTTTTTTTTTTTATAAACGACATATACTATTGTAATTTTTTTGTCGAAATGATAGAAAATTTATAGAAAAAATACAAAAGCACATTTAGAAAACATTCCGACAACTGAATAAGACAACTTTAGAGCCGAAATTAGTAAAAGGAGATATTCTGTAAGCCCCGGCCCCAAAAAATAATATATTTAGCTCGACTTTATTTATCAAAATTAGTAATATTTTAATTATGTCGAGAATTATTAGTATTAATCGCATATTTATTTAATTTCAAGTCTAAGCCATGAAGAACGTTTGGAATATTATTTCGGAAACGAGATAAAAATCCCAAGCCTAAGACTCGATTATTTATTTTTATCGAGTATTAGAAAAGTCAGAAATTTATTTAATTCCCAAGCAAGCCCAATTATTTAATTATCAGGCCCTAGTATGTAATCGAGACATTTTAAATAATCGAGCCAGGTAGTATTTTAATTGAGCCCGACATTATTTATTCGGTCCATTTGACGGTATTTAATTTCCTAATTCGGAGTCCAAGTCGAATTTATTTACCGAGCCAATTCGAATTTATTTCAAGCCCAATTCGATTAAGTACTAGGCCCGATTTTAAAAGCCCAATAGCACTCCCAAACCCTAATTATTTCATGTGTATAAATACCACTCCATCTCCTTCCATTCCAAGAACTCTAGCCACCACAACTACCTTCCTCCACCTTCAGCTTTTCCGGCCGACCACCACCACACCTCCGGTGAGACCTTCCCGGCGAGCTCCCCACGGCAAGCTTTTCCCAAACACAGCCCGCGGCCGCAGCTCGAGCCAAACACACCCCCAGCTCAGCCCGCAGCCTCCGCCGTCGTCGTTCCCACCGGCGACCCACAGCCACGAGCTCACCTCCGGCGAGCTCGTCACCACCATCCAAGCTCAGTTCGTACGCAGCTCCTCACGACTCCATTCTAAGCCCCGTGAAGCTCGAACCCCCGGCGAACCAGCTCCTTCTCCGGCGAAAGCAAGCTCGCGACGACCAACAACTCTGTCATTTTCAGCCTTCCAGCCGAGGTGACGTTATTTTCCAGCGACGAGCTCACCTTCCCGTTGGCAGCAGCTCCTCCACGCGCGACCAAAGCCAGCAGATCTGCACATTCACGAACCATCTTCGCTCACCCCGCACCAACCCGTCCTAGGCTGATTTTCGGTGAGTTGACGCCGGAAAAAGCTAAACCTGCAGCTCCTTCACGTCGGTAAGTCCCATTTCCGACCACCACAAGCAAGCCCGAGCCTCGATCCATGCAAAACCGGGCCACCTCGGTTCAGACCCGAGCCTAACGCGTGAAAATCGGCCCAAGCTGACGTTATCTCCGGCGACGAGCACCTTTCCAGCTCGTTTCCCGTCCATTTCCAGCAGAAAAATCGAGCTCAACAGCTAGCAGGTCCAAGCAGCTCATGTCCACGGCCCGATCTGCTCTCGAAGCCCGCAACAAGCTCGGATCTACACCCGAGCACATTCGTACGAGCCACCTTAGCTCGATCTGTGTGAACCCGAGCCCTCTCCGACCAGAACTGAGGCCCTCGGAATAGAATCGAGCATCGTAGATCAAATTCGAGCCTCTTACCTCAGCCCGACCCGAGTACGAGCACAACCGGGTCGTTTCCTTGCCATTTTAATTTTTCTGATTTCCGGTTCGAACCCTTCGAGAGGTATAACGGCTAAAGCTTGATATATATGGAATAATTTGATAATATATATGAGATAAAATAAATGAGATGTTGATTTGAGTTGATTTTGGAAAAATCGGTACATACGAGCGTAAAGCGAATAAATTGATATTTTTCGATAAACGCATTAAAATGTCGAAATAAATATGATAAATCCTGATTAGCTGACTTGAGGCCTAGGTTTTAATTTCGTGATTTTTGGTGCCCGTTTAGTATATTAACTGGATTTTTGAATATGTAGCTGAAATGCCCGATTTTTTATAAATATGATAAAGACCTCGAAATTTGATGCAACTTTCACGAAAAATCTTATAAATGCTGAGTATGACGTGATTTAAATTTCATAATTTTTAGAGGTTGTTTGGTATGCCTACAAATTCGGAACTTTAGCTGCTTTGGTGAAAACCCTAGAATTTATCCGGTTGAGATTTAGCTAAAATCACTAGAAATCACGATGAACTTAAAGTTTTGACTTGAACCGGGATAGATAGCCGGCTGAGTAGAGAACCCTAGTTTGGCCTTTTCCCGGTCAGTCCAGATGAACTCTAGATCCGAGTAGAAAAGTTGTGCGTCGGTGGATGTCGTGTCCGTGCGTATGTACAGGGACCACAGTTAAACCGAGTTGCACCTAGTCAGACGAGCAACCGGCCAGCTCAGACTGAGCCACCGGTCCAGTTCAGTCGAATCGGTCCGGATAGTCTGAACGATTCGAGAATAGCAGTTCGGAATATCGGTTTGAGCGTGAACCGAGTTTCAGTATTTTTCCGAACCCAGTCAGATAAGATCAGACCAGTCAGATAAGTTAGACCAGATAAATCAGATAAGATCAGACCAGTCAGATAAGTTAGACCAGATAAATCAGATAAGCAGACCAGACTTAAAAATGTTTCAAAGAACTCTAGAATGCCTCAAAGTCAACAAATCTTTCCAAAACAGCTCAAATCCTCTAAATTCATATTAAATGATCGAGCAAGAGAACCTAGTAAAATCAGATAATAAAAAGAATCAAGTTTTCAGTTTGAGCTTAGTACTTAGTACATTTTGCTCAAATATTTATGTAGCTTAAGGAGAGTCGAGCCTCCGACAGCTACCAGTCAGTCAGCACTTGCCTAGCAGTAGCAGTTCATCAAGTGGGGGTCACGTACTGGTTATACTTCATCCTTAATTTCCGTACCATGTCCGAGGTATGTATGAGAAATAGATAGTTCATCATGAGGGAGGCCGTGGCGGGCCTTAATGTTCCCCGTGATTCCGAGGGAGGCCTTAATTGGCCTTAATGATCCCCCGAAGTGTGCATATGATTGACTTTTAAGCCCCAGGGTCTTTATGACCACCAGATGCCCCAGTTACAGTTTCAGTTCAGATCAGTTCTTATATACTTAAAGTCATGATATTGTTATTAACGATGTTGCATAATTAAGTACTGGTCTTTGCGGAGCATAGTTGTTTTGCTCACGCCCCCATTACGTTTTTCAGGTGACGGAGCGACGCGTGGCGCGTGAGATTTCAGTGGTGGTCATGGTCATTAGCAGTCTTTTTGTAACGCATCTGCATGTCATTTATTAAACATGTACTATTATTACTATGCGTAGACTTATTATGTTTCAGCTTCCGCACATTCCAGACTTAGTATGTATTATGAGATTATCAGACTTATGCATGTATAATGCCTTTATCTACGTGGTACCTTTATATAACGGATTTGATTAGGTTGCATGTATTTATTTACGTCTGCATGAGAAAGAGTTTAAGTTAGTAGCATCCCGCAAGTTAGTATGAGTATTTTCGAAAATAAAGTTTAAGAGTTTTTTCGAAAATAAAAAGTAAAAATTTTACTCTGATTTTATAAATTCTAGAAATAATTAGGCGGGGTGTTACATATTCGATGATCACCTAGAACCTACACTAGGAACAAACTCACAAACAAAACTAGAAAATTACCCAACTCCACAAATGTAGAATAAAACTCTCTTATGGGAAAATAACACAAAATACAAAAAAAGAAAGCACGAGAAAAACATAAAACACGAAGCCTACAAAACACAAACACAAAAGCACACTACAAGCCTACACCCGCTAAACAAAAACATAAAAAAAAAAAAAAACAGAAAAATAGCTAAATTAACCTTCACTCAACAGGTAGCTACACCAAGCAAAACAACGGCTATACCAATGGACATCCATCCAAGCAGACAATGCCACGACCCAGGAACCCGACCCATAAACTGCAAACCATAAACTGCAAAAGAACGTCTAACTGGTTGGACAACACTGGACCCAACCCCAATTCAAACTGACACCACCATCCCACACCCGGAGACCTTCACCCCCAAAACCATCTAGACCGACACCACCAACCCAGGCTAGACCTCAGCCCACCTTGCTGGCCGTCCCCTTCGCCCAGCACCAGGACCGAAAAGAACACGGTGAAAAAAGGCGAAACCCTCTACCCTAATCCCCACAAAAATAATAATCATAGCCACAACCCACTCTTGAAGAAACGTCGGAGGCCACCCGCAACAAAAAGGCCAAAAAAATGGATCACCCGCCACCCTTTCCTAGCAACCAGAACCACGAAGAGACCTAATAAAAGGTCGAGCACCTCCTCCTTAGCGAAGAAAAACACATCCGAAAGGTGATTTTTCAAAAAAGGGCCGCAACGCCCAAGGGCGTCACCGTCGAAAGGCTCGGTAAGCCTCACTGGGAAAGGCGCCGGAAAAAAATTGAGAGGTTCCAGAAGGAATTATAGCTTTTTTTTGCAAGAAGAATAAGAAAGAGAGAGAGAGAGAGAGAGAGAGAGAGAGAGAGAGAGAGAGAGAGAGAGAGAGAGAGAGAGAGAGAGAGAGAGAGGGTGAGTAATAATATTTGTTTTTAAGTAACATATACTATTACTCAAAAACAAAAAAAATGTACAAGTGAGGTTGCCAAATAGCCAAATAGACTTCTAAAAAATAGACTATAAGG